TTTACAAATCATGACAAATTTTAATGGAGTTCTCTAACTAGAGGCTCTTAAAATTAAAAAAAAAAAAAAAACTCCTCTAACCAGAGGTTATGAAACTTTGAAAAGAACTCTTCTAACCAGAGGCTATGACACTTTAAAGAAAGCTACTCTGACTAGAGGTAATGGAACTTTAAATTAAAAATATAAGAAGCAACGATATTTGAAAGATTTCTCTAAACAAAGGCCATAAAGTTTGAATGATTCCTCTAAATAGAGGGCTTACATTTTTTTTATATTAACTTTTCCTTTTGTTGGTCTTAGATTGTCCTAGACCTATATATCTATTATGCCACATGTGTGCATGAATGACATTTTCATGCTTTTACAATGTCATGCAATGAATGATGATCATGATCCAAATGAAGAGACCATCTTTTTTTTTTTCTATTTTATGTCTTTTTTTTAATCCTTAAAATTTCTCAATGTTCGTTTTTCTTTTTTTTTTTAATTCCATCCATTCTAGTTGACTAGGTTTGGATAATAAAGTTTCTCTCAATGATTTCCCATATTCAAGGTCTATCATTTTTATGACTTATAGGTCTCTTTTTTCATCGACTTTTATTCCTTACTATATTCCTTATCATTTTAAATTTCCTTCAAAACAATGTTTGGTGTCTTTCATGGTCATTATTGCTCACTTATCATCTTTTGAATTTCATGACAATTATAAGACCTTACGCATTTCTCTTTTTAATGAGAGGTACAAATGAAGGATAAACAAAGGGGTATTTTATTTTAGTAAAATGAAAAAGTGTTTCATGCATTATCAAAAAAAAAATATAACGAGGAAAACAAGTAATCATATAACGAATATTCATATCATCATTAACTAATTCATTTTGAATTCTATTCTAAAAACCCTTTATTGATGCCATTTGACTTTCTGAAAACATAGCAGACTATGCTAGTCTAAAACCAATGAGATTCTCTGGCATATATTGGGAATTGCCTTACTCTATTCAATGTTTTTTTTATCTAAATCACCTTTTTAGGTTTTTAACTTAAATATCTTTTTGATTCATTTAGCCTTTTCACCTTTTTTTTTAAGCATAATACTTCTTTACTGCATCGACATTGATTGATTTTGGCAAATCATCCCCATCCATTCTTACCAAGATTAGTGCCCTACCAAAGAATGCTTTCTTTACCACATAGAGGGTTTTCCAATTAAAAGTCCACTTTCTTTGAGGAACTTGTTGGTTAAGAATAATCTTATTAAATAATAATTCTCCTTCTCAAAATTGTCAAGGGCAAACTTTCTTGTCATGAGCTTGCATTATTCTTTTAAAGAAAGAATTTTAACTTTAATGGACAACACTGCCTTTATCCCATAAACCAATTAAAATGGTATAGCTTTTATAGATGTGCAAATCAAAGTTCGATAAGCATGCAATGTAAATGGTAACTTTTAATGCCAATCTTTATTCACATCTATCATTTTTTTGACAATTCTCTTTATGTTCTTATTGGTCGTCTCAACTGCCCTATTTATCTTTGGACGATAAGGCACGAATTTGTGGTGTTTGATTTTGAACTGAGCAAAAACCTCACTCATCATTTTGTTATTTAAATTAAGAGCATTATCTAAAATGATCTTTTTTGGAAATTCATATCGACATATGATCTCTTTCTTGATAAACTTGCAAACTACCATTCTTGTCACATTAGCATCTGAAGCTATATCTACCCACTTTGTAAAGTAGTCAATCATCACTAAAATGAATTAATGTCCATTTAAAGCTTTTAGAGTAATGGGCCCTATCACATCCATTCTTCACATAGAGAAAGGTCAACTTGTTGACATGAATGCAAGGATGTTAGAGGAACTTGCATCTTGTTTGTATAAATTTAACATTTGTGACATTTTCTAGTATAATCAATGTAATCTTTTTTCATTGTCAACCAATAGTATCCTACTTTCGTGATCTGCTTAGTCATCATATGGCTATTTGCATGAGTTTCACAAACATCTCAATGGATTTCTTCTAGTAACTTTTTGGCTTTAGTAGCATTCATACATCTTAATAGTATTTGGTCTCGACTTTTCGTATATAAAATTTTCCCATTCAGAAAGAAACCCATTGTCAATTTTCTCAAAGTTCTCTTATCATTATCTAATATGTTCTCTGGGTATTGCTAATACTTGACAGATTGTAATATATCAAAATACTAACGTTTTCTATCAACTTCTTTCTCAACATTCAAACAATGAGTTGGTTTTTCTCTTAAGCTCAACTTGATATGTTGGACTTCAATATTTTCATTTAGCTAGAACATTGCTACCAACATAGCCAAAGCGTCAATCATTTGATTCTCTTCTCGAGGTAAATGATGAAACCAAATATTCTTAAATTTTTTGATCAATTCTAATATGTACTTTTGGTATAAAACCAAATTGAAATCTCTAGTTTCTCATTCTC